TCACCTAAAGTACGAGGAACTATGTTAAAGCACACACATACGCACATACGTACACGCATACACACGCGCTCCACATGAAAGCCTTAATAATTCTATACTATTGTGATAGCAGCCTATGTCAACTGGAAATTCAGTGTGAACGGTAGCTTCACGTACAAAGTGTATTTGATTGTGTTGTGTATTCGTAAATTACCAACACCATCCAGAGTACAAATAGGTAAAGAAGGCAAAGCAGTCAGCGCCATCTGTCGTGTAAAAAATGCGATGGATGTGCGAAGACGACGACGACGACGACGACGACGACGGAACTGAAATAAAATCATCTCGCTCGGCATTTCAATACGCCCTGATCTCGTACACTAATCGTATTGAACTTGGTGGCAATCGCTTCAGAACCTTCAATTCCTATAGTGAATGTATCAATAATTTTTCCTCATATATAGCGGTTCATAAGATATTTCGTTCCAAACACAGGTATAAGGAGTTGACTCGAGTAAAGAGTCTCGGCGCACTGCGCCCTGTACAGCCGGTTGCCTGTACTTGGCGCGAGACTCGACCGAGTCTCTTGATTTTACTTTGAGCTCAAAAGAAAGAGCATTTTTGTGATATTTTAATGTATGCAACACACCCCAGACTTTTTTAGATATGTGAGAAATGTGCGAATTCCATGAAAGGTCAGCAGACAGGTGAATGCCCAGATTTTTAGCTTCATTAACAATAGGAAGAGTAATACCGTTTATAATGACAGTCGGAAGATCAGACTGGTCTACTGATTTGAGGTAAGCAGAGCTACCTAGGACTAAGATCTTTGATTTTGCAATATTCAGCGACAGATAATTTGAGTTAGCATAATTGGATATAGCTTCAACATCCTCACTGATTTTAGCAAAGCCACTACGGATGTCGTTTGGGTCACATTGTAGATAAATCTGAGTGTCATCAGCGAAGATCATATAATCCGTATGGTTTAGACAACCCCCAATGTCATTGATATACAAAGTGAATAAAAGTGAGCCGAGCACTGAGCCTTGGGGAACTCCTACAGACGTTGTCAATCAGTTAGAGCAATCCCGGTTTCCATCAATGACTGCTTGAGATCTATTTGATAGGTAAGAATGTAACCACGAAATGACATAGTCAGAAAACCCGAAATTCATCAGTTTAGCCAAGAGGTGTGGATGGGAGATTGTGTCGAAGGCCTTACTGAAATCAATGAGGACAAGTATCATTAATTTCCTGTTCTCAATGGCAAGTCTGACATCATCGGTAACCCGTAACAAGGCAGATTGAGTACTGTAACGCATTTCCTGACCTACATTCTGTCTACGACCCCAACGTGGCATTCCGCGGATCCCTTGGGCGCCAGGTGCATCCTTGGACCAGCCCGGCTCGTCGGGCCTTTAATTTCAAATTCGCGGCACGCCGTTTCCGGGAGTCCTCTCGACCGGATCTTCCCGCTAGCTCTCCTTCTCATTGGTAGAGGGGAACGTGAGGGTGGCTAGTCTCTGCAGGAATCGGTCGGCCTTTCCGAAATGATCGACACGGTGGGATTTCATTGCAACAATCTACATTTATTTCGTCCTAGGTAAACGGGTAGTCGGGTGGTCTTGCGAACGCGCCTCGATACAATCCTATGAGGGGACGCGGTCGCGGCAGTCGTCTTCTACTTACCCGGGCGGCTGCAATCTTCTCGCGTGTGAGTCGGTGGCGGGCCCGTAGCCCCCACTCCGCGTACCGCGCTGCACCGGCGGATGCACTTCATCCCCATCCGGCGTGCAGCTTCGCTTAGCCAAGAGTAATCTGACTGGACTTACCAGGACTTCCGGTGCTCTCGGCCTTCTCTCTGGTGATCCCTGTCTTTTTCCTCGGTCTCCCTCTCGTACTCTCTCGCTCTCTCGCTCGCTCCCTCGGACGGTGCCGTAATCCAAAATATCGAGGTCCGTCGGAAATGCCAAGTCGTCTTTTCTCTATCCAGTCCAAATCACTTTTTCTCACACAAAAAAAAAAACCAAAAACCAAAAACTCTTTCTCGCACGCGCTCACACCCGTTACACGGTTCGAAACTCAGTGGCCCCCTTTTCGGCTCCCCCGGCCCGAGGATTCCCGAAGAATCCCGAGTTCATCCGAACTCGTGCGCTATCTCTCGACTCGGTCCGCTCTCCGTATTTCGGCGCTCACAGCCCGCCAGTTTCCGGGCGGCACCGATCTTACCCGAGCCCGCCCGATCTTCGGACTCGGCGTTGCCGGTTTCTCTCCCCCGCTTCCTCTCGCCGCGAACCTCCGGCGTCGTCGGCATTCTCTCGGCAGCTTTCGTCGGCGGCACGGCTCTCCGTGCGCCTATGCTTTTATGTAACTGGCCGTCCCGCGGACGCAACGTTACAGTACTAAAACCTCTACGATATGCCGACTGCCTCTTATCAACGATATTGTTTACGTCAAGAAATGTAACGGCGACACAAATTTATTTTTAACTAGTCCGAGATTAGCTAGCTCATTCCACATTTTATTAGGATCAATGATAGAACAAAGTCTATTGAATTGATATCTATCTTTGGCATTTCGGAGATCAGCAGTTAAATTATCTCGATATGATCTAAATATAGCAAAGCCAAGTAAACTATTCGCACGTTTTGCTTGCTTATAGATAGAATTCTTAATTTTAATGCGTGCTACCAGTTCAGATGACAGCCAGGGCGTAGCTGGTTTCGAAACTGAGAAACAGTGAAGCGGAGCATGTAGATTGAACACATTGGCAACACAATTTGTTACAGAGGCTACCAACAAATCTATTTAATGCTGAATTTGGCACTCAGTGTTAACAAGCTCTGGCAGCGGTAGCAATGCTCGAAAATTATTCAAGAAGTTTTCATGATCGAAATTTTTCAGACTACGACGCCTAAAGACAATATCATTCGTTGCACCAGTATCGAAGTCATAGTCAATAGCAATTAGATCATGTCCGTTTATAAATGGAACATCTGATTTGTAGAATAAGAGTAGATTGTCCCTACTATTCCACAATGATTACGTCAAGCCAAGAATCACAGGAGCTTGTATGAAAAGAAGGGCCAGTCTCAACCAGATGTAGAGACGACAAAAAAATAATTTCTAATAGGTGTTGGATTTCAGAGGTATTATTAAAAATGTTACAGTTTAAGTCACTCGAGATAACGATGTTTTTATACGCATGAGCCAGACAGATGATAAGAGATATAAATTCGTGAAGGAAACGACCAGCAGGCCTACGATACACGGATGCAAAGAGTAGCGTTTCGGAATTCGGAGATTTAATATCAAATATGATAAATTCAGGCGAGTTACTAAAAAGACTGGGTGACGTGTGAAGAATATTAGCTTTTAGTGAGTTGTGGATGTAACAAGCATCTCCACCGCCCTCCTTGCCTTCTCGATCATTACGGATTAGATAATAATTTGGTATATGAACTAGAGCATCCTGAATATGTGAATGTAGCCATGTTTCCGCTATCGATACGATATAAAAGATGTTATCTGTTACTAGTATTTTTATTTGTTTAAAGTGCGCTAATAGGGAGTGAGCATTGAATTGAGCAATCTTGATATGAGATAATGCGTTTCGTGAAGTTGGAGTAGCCGCCAATGACAGAGGTGATGTATCTGTGCTAGCAGGTGCCAGTCAGACTAGTTTATTTAAATCGTTCTCTGTTTGAATCATGATGGGAGGGCAACCATTGTCTTTTCTCACAAAAATCGTGTTATTTTTACACCACACGAATTTATAGGATTTTTCCTTGGCAAGAGCCTTTGAGCGACGAAGTAAGTTATAGGTAGAAGCTGGAAGGAGCTCATTAATATAAATCTGACGATTAGAACCACCGTCACAGACCTCGTTTTGTCTTAGGTCACGTTTATTTCTTTTTTTCGTTAGAACTATGTCGCGGACTGCAACCGATGTTAAAGTGACAATATATGCGGTTGTAGCTCGAGACATTTCTGGCGGAGAAGAAGATCGAGTTGATGCAGCAGGAAGATCAGATTTATTACTGATGCATCTAACAGCTAATATGTGGCTAGAGCGTTCGGGTACGCCAAGAGCTTGAAAGACGTTGCTAACGAGAGTAACAGGAGTTGTTGTCGTTCTAGCAGGTACGCTAGACAGAATAAGTTCGCTGTCCTCACGCTCGTGCAGTTTGGTATAAGACGAATCTGACATACCGGACAGTTGAGCCTTCAGTGATTGAATTTCTTGCAATAGAGTGGCATAGTTCTGTTCTAGATTAGAAATACGTTGGCAATTTTGATTTACTGTATCAGCAATTCTATTCAAGTTATTTAGTTTTTCGTTGATCTCCTGGTTTGTTTGCAGTTGCCCAGTAATAAATACAGTGATTTTCTCGTCAGATTTTTTAATTTGTGATATAAGAGATTGAAGTAGATCGTTAGTAGTTGGTTGTCCAGACGAGCAAGAAGAGACAGGGTTTAGCGTTGATAATGGCAAACTCAGAGACTGCAGATCAGGCGTACACCGAGGTGTTGAAGACATCCTGGATAAGTTGTCTTTGCAACAGGTTTTGACAGATCTAGTGGTTATGTAAGCCTTAGCACATCCAGGGTGGAAAGAACTTTCACATACAGTTCATGTGAGAGATTGACCCGCAATGGATTTAACACACTTATAACAAGTACGCTGCATAAATAACGATGAATTTATACAGTACCAATATTATCACAGAGGCAATGGATTAAGTAGTAGGCTCGTAAATCGGTCACAGCACCGTGTACACTACTTTACCGACGCTGGCAAAGAGTGGAAAGTTGATGATCTGGAATCACTGTAGATGTCACTCCTGATTGATGATAATAGACGTCCAGTAGAAGGATAGAAAACATGGATCATCACAGATGTCACTAGCAGATGATAGGCGACGCGACAGCAGAGACAGGCGCATGGGTAGGCAGTGATATGACATAAACAATGGTCCCATCCAAGCAAGGTTAGGAATTAGAGTTGCCAATTTCCACAAAAATCAGAATCAAACTTGTTTCCAGAACAGAGATTGATGTGTGGTTTGTGACAAGCAATAATTAGCCAGCTAATTCCTACAACAAAGGAGCCCGTCGGCAGGATACAGCAGTAATGTGTTCAAAAGAAGGTAGAGCGATTTAGACAGTACTGAGAGAGAGGGGGGGAGAGGGGGAAGTTGGAGAGGGGGAGAGCGAGAGAGAGGGAGAGTGGGAAGTTGGAGTGCGGGCTGGATTTACATCCCGCTGTTAGATAAGCGTCCACTGGCGAGGGTCGGGGGACCACCTAGAAAAGATAAGATCTGTAAATTAATTATGTCTAATTTTAACTTGTAACTATGAACAAGCATATACTCGCCAACACGGAACACGAGGAAGCTGGATGCCTGCGCGGGACGACATTGCCGACCCCAACGGGACTGTCATACCGACCCGATCACCACTGCTGGAGCCCGCCAAACTCAAACAGCTAACGCACACCACCAATATCGCAGCTGCCGCCAACATTAGAATTCCCTGTAAAGGGGTTATCGTCTTACCTATCTATACGCCACGAAACATCTGCTGCTTCTATCGATGTGCTCCTGCTACCTGACATCCGAATGCGAGTCCGGACTAACCACAGGTGAATACACTTCGCCTCGTTTCCCGTCCTAGGAGATCCTTGTGCCCTGTGGGCACGATAAGGCTTTCTCCCAAAGACGCGGAGCGAGGACCATCAGGATACAAAATACGGAGCAGAGGAAAAGGTTCACTTACCTGCGGAGGAACTGCATACGTTACCTACAGCCGGTCATCCTGGTTACCTGCACTAGCAAGCCCCGGCTAATTACGGGAATTCGGACTGACCCAACACCATTCCGAAGCATCCTCATATAACTCCAAAGACATTTCGCAACAAGCACACTTCAAAACATCACAACGACAACATGCGGACAGCGGCATGACAGCGCGGAAGACGCCAGTACCGTCCTACGTCGTACCGCTAGCGAACTACTACTACCCAGAAGGCCGCGCGGGGAATGCGCGCACCCGCTCCAACTTTAAGCTACCTGATAGGGTTAATGACTCTAAATCCTGGCAATATATTATCAATAAGAATCTGGGATTGGCGGAAATAAACGCGAGGAGTAATTGACCAATCATAATCGCCAAATTAAGGTTTGGGTGGGAGGATAGCACCCCGGGTATTGCGAAAAGAATCGGAATCGTTCTCTTTTGTTGTGGATCTGACAGGTGGACGTTTTATTCATCGCTCTGGAGACCAAACGGAAGGTTTCTCTGTGCAAGATCTTCTTTTCTGTACTATCTGGCAAGCTATCTTTCTTGTAACCGGGTTCGAAACTCTTCACACTGCCTACGTGAGTAATATTATTAGACGCTACCTAGTAGCACGAGATTGGCTAAATCCGGCCTAAGGGCCTAAGTAAGCGTCTATTGAAGAGCTTCGTTGCCGGATTAATAATTTATCTATGCTAGTTCACGAGTACAGTGCTAATTGTATCTAGTGGTGGTTTTCCTGATTGCGGCTATGGCAAAGAGCCTGTTTTGTATCGTCCGTCAAGTTTCTTTTGTATTACGTTTTCGTTAATTTGCGTGAGTATACTCGATCGGATATTTCCGTGAGTGTATCATATTTTTCTTTGGTTGATCGGATCGCGCTGTGTAAGATTTCCTCGTACGGGTTGTAATAAGAACGGCTACCTGGGATAGCATAAATCTCGTCTCGGCTACTTGAGCCCTCGGTACTTAGTTACACGCTACCTCGGTTAGTTAGAAACTCCCTCAGTAACAGAATCAAATCCTTGAATCAAATATTTGTTCTTATTATTTTACGTGTGTTTCTTTATCTTATTTTACCGGGATCTTAACTTTTGACAATTTATTTACTTTTTCTGTTTTAATGACTGCTCTTATTTTATTACATCGATTATCGTGATTATCTGTGTTACCTGGAATGCGAACGGGGACTTAGGAAAAGTAATAGTGGAATCGGCAGATTTGTCGTGCTGCTTACGTGCGTTATATTACATCTTCTCGCCGTCCGTGAGTACGTCCCTGTAAAATTCCACCTCTGTGCGTACATACTCCTTCTGTTGACTGTCTCTAGGCCCGCGTACTAAACGTTACGCTTATTACCTGTTGGGACTCATAGGCTACCTTTCATCCATTTCCAATATCTGTAACTCTTAAGTAACATAGCGACTACCTCTGGTAGCTTTTCGTATCTTTATCGGGTTCTGTTGTGTATTATATCTTGGTTGCCAGGTGCAATAAATTGTTAAGTTTTGGTCAGGTAAAACTGGCTTACAGCTCTTACTTCCTAATTACCCCACCCCTCTCCTATACCTATCGGGGCTGAGCTAGTCAGATTTCCGCGACGCATCGATCGGATCCTGGTCTTTTTAGCTATCTCGATACATTCTCTGATTTTCCCTGTTGGCATCACTGGATGCCTGGCGCCCATCGGCATATCGCGCGAATTTGTGTATTGCTCATGGATATGATGATCTAAGATCGAGCGAGCGAAGATACTCCTTTGTTGCTGGATCTAGTTATATTTAATCAGTTTTAGGAGATCCGGGAACAGGTGTTACAATGTAAATAAGTTAAAAATGAACGTTACTAAACCCAAGTTCATGATAATTAAAAGTACAAGAAAAGAATTGAGAAAAAATATTACATTACAATGTATTGATGGCAATATGTTAGAAAGGGTGGAAAATACCAAATACCTCGAAGTAATTATTGATAGTAAACTCCGATTTGAGGAACACTGTGAATATATGTTAAAGAAAATAGGGGAAAAAATAAGTTTCTTAAATAGAATTGGTAACGACATATCGGGTTATGCTAGAGAGATACACATTTAAAGTATTGTGCTACGATTTTAGCAGGTATGGGGGAGACTCAGCTGACTAAACTGCAAGTGGCGCAGAACCGGGGTCTGCGAGTCATACTGCAATGTGATAGATATACAAAGGTAGAAAGAAGGCTGCACGCGTAGCAGTTTATGTCTATAAGACAGAGATTATATTACAATGTCTGTATATTTGTTTTCAAATTGGTAAAAGTTATGTTACCTGAGCATTTAAAAAATAAGATAGTTTTAGTAGGAGACGGAAACGAAAGGTGGATAAGACAAACGGGGGACATTTGAATACAATTTCGAAGAACAAGTGCGCAAACGAGTCTATTTTACGAAGGAATCAAAATGTATAATGCGTTACGGATAGAACTAAAGCAATGTGATAAGTTTACTACATCTCAGCATATGTTAAAAGAATATGTAATAAATTCATAATATATTACTTAACTAGCTAGTAAGACACTATATTTAAGATAAATAGCTGAGAAAGCTAAATAAATAAAAAAATAAATCTCTCGCCCTTGCCCTCTCGCTTTCCTCCTCCCACTCTCTCGTGATTCGCGCACACGCACACGCACCCACACACACTTCTGAACTTATCCTATTGAAGAAGATATACTATACTTATTCATGAAGACCGATTATAATTTTTGGGTGTCAGGAAATTTTTGGGTGGCTTAGTTTCGCTGGACGTAACAACTATATTCTATTATTTGAAAACTATTACATATACGAAGAAAAAAAAGATGATACTTGCAAAATAAATCAGTTTTTTTGCGACGACACTATTTGCACCTTGAACACTTCGAATAAGGTCATTGTTAAGAGCATATACTATTCTGCTTTCCAATATAAGCCTATTTTTTGTATCTTCGTCCAAAGTATTTGCAATATTATTGATTGTAGATCGTAAACTCTGCTTCAGATGATAAATCGAATCGTTGAATTCGGTTATATGATCACCATCCGTAACTGCATTTGTGAACGGTCGCAATTTTTGTGCGAAAAGTCTCTTTTTTCTTAAAATAATACCACCACTCAATAAACCCATATAAAGGTGATAAACATATGCAATTAATAGTATAGGATCTGTATCTTCTGTGTTCTTCAAGTGAGTCAAATATTTTATGACGCTGCTCCTGCAGCACAAGAAAAAAAAATTACGACAAATTATAAAATATTATTGTAAATAAATCTGAACATAATGTCAATTCAATTGATTTTACAGATTAGATATAAATTACAAAAAGATTTCACATAATAAGATAGAACGTGCAATTAATATTTATTCTCTAAAAATCGAAGTGTCTGTAATAAGTCTGACGCAGAATGTTATTCAAATTACTTAACAATATCAAAATTTCTGTAATGAAATAATAGATTATAAAATTATTAAGAAATATGAAAAACTTTACCTAGGAGTGTAGTTTTCTTTCCAACCTTTTCCCAAATAATATTCTAGATCGCGTTCAAATGCTTCTGTACGTTGTAGTTCTGGGGATAGAAAAAGGCCCAGTTCGGTATTCTTCCATCTGAGCATTGCTTCTTCGAGATATCGAAAGATATCATAAAAAACGAGAAGGCCATCCGCCCATACCATATTGTTAGAAAATCCTGCAGTAATCAATCATAATTCAGTTAACCAAACAAAA